ACACAGACTTATATTTACGCACACCAGAAACTAGAAACTGTATCAAAAGTAGCTGACAAACATTGTTACTATTTGTAACATGCCTTATTCATTTTTGAAAATCGTCTCGTCTTTCGGCAAATTCTGAGTCAACACAGAATATTTCAACTACTGAGATATTAATTATTATAAGTGTTTATTATAGACATGTTATTTTAAGGATGACTGAATACTTGTTGTAATCTTAATCCTCCTAATCTGAACATCTCTACAAAGTAAAGTTGTTGAACTACTTCTCAACAGAGTTCTTTTAATCAATCTTGGAGAGGAAATACTTGAAGAGGTTACAGGAATTATTTAAAAAAAAAATCGCGGTCCTTCCTGATTGAAACTCGGGCCCCGTAGATCTTCTTTGGATTTTACCTTTAAGATATTGCTTAAATAATGAAATATTATAACACAGATTATATATAAGAAGTACATGCATACGTGGGAAAGCTTTTAATTCTAACATTTACTTAGGAAACCTTTACAGAAAGGTTATGTCAATAAAGTGAGAGATTATCAGAATCATAAGTCGAACAAATCTTATCTGAACACGGTTAAAGCGTACGGTGTATCGAAGAAAGTACAGCGACAAACAGTTATAACGTTCTTTGATAATCGCATTCTAGAATTATTATAAGATAGGTACTTTTGTCTACAGTTAAACATAGTTTTATGATATAGAAATTTTACATCAAGGTTCAAACCGTGCTTCTAACTGAAATCCGAAAAAGGAAATATGGTATACCGACAATTGCAATTAGTATAATTTTCCTTTGTATCTCTTTTGAGTAGATAGTAAGGTAGCTAAGAAGAGCTAGCTAGTATTAGTTAATAATTATTTAGAAGTATTAAAAATATTGTAGTTATGGTACTAGACTTCGTAAATAAATGAACGGTTAGTTTGATGTAAATATTTGATAAAAAGAATAATTTTTCGTAGAACAAGTAGGTAATGGTGCATATTATATTGTGTTCATAGATCTCGTGTGAAATTATCGCCAACTTATTTTTAGAAATGTACACATTTACATACATAGACACCTTAATGCAGTTACATAACAAAAAAATAAAATAAAAATAACATACAAGTATGCTAAAAATAGGCATCAATTCCTAAATTAAAAGAGTTTTTCGTTATTTTTATCTTTTTTGCAACTAATCTACTGCGAAAAAGAGACAGTAATTAAGTTGCACTGGATAAAAATGGATGCAAAGAAAGTGTTAAGTATGGGAGATGAAGGGTACAAGAGAAGAAGAAGACCAAAGAAAAGGTGGATGGACTGTGTAAGTGAGGATATGAAGAGAGTAAACAGTGAAATGACGAATGATAGAGTAGAATGGAAGAATCATACATACTGCGTCGACCACAAATGAAATTCGAATGTAGTACTTCTAGATTTTTGATGATTTTTATTGTTCGTCTTCCTTAAAAATCATTAGTATTTGAATTTAAAAAAAAACTCTTAGTAATATCAAGTTTAAAAAGAAAAAAAACAAATGCATTTTGGCCTTTAAGTTACTACTAATATAACCTAATTTACATATGTTAAAGATCAAACTTATTACTTAATAATAACTTATTTGGGGACCTAAATACTCCATTCTTTTAATAGCACTCCACTCCTGTATGGTGTTCTTTGATATTGCAAGACTAATTTGTTGAATTAGTATAGAGTCTAGGATACTCAAAAAATCCTAAACAACCTACCATGTCCAATTAACTCTTCTATTTTATCAGGAACGCAGTATAAGTGGCTTTGACATCCTGACAACGACCGAAGAAAACCTATATCGGTCGATGTTATTAATTGAGCATTGTACGCAGGGGTAATGGGAACTCCGCAAGAGCACTTCACTCTGTTATCTTCATGAAGACGTATGCGCAAGGTTGCAGACAATGCTATGAAGGCAAATGAAAATGCAGTGAGTAGTGTTTTTTACTTTTTCAAGAATTAGATAAATAATTTAAATAAATACCATCGAAGAGGTAGGCCTGGTATAACTTTAGTCTACTTACATAATAAGGCGTAAGCCTATAGCTATTAACGGGCTATTTTATGAGTTAAATAGGAATTGGGGCTTAGGTAGCTGGTGGAATTAGGTAGCTATATTGATAGGAAAGGTAAAAAAAAAGAAGGGAACTGTATGAAAATGATATTATTTATTCGAAAAAATCGCGGAGTATACGTGTAAAATATATTTTCTTGAGTATTGATAAATTCTCTTTCGAGAATTATTCAAGAGAAATATATTATTCAGTACCAAAGACTCCGTTTGACGTCAATACACTGATAATAATCAAATTATTATTTGTTAGAGTTTGACTAAGATCAACTTCTAAGGTGTTTTTTTCGATCGAGTTCTGGTAGTAATTTGAAAATCGAAATCTATAAAGTTAACTATCAGTGCTTGCCCGTTTAGATGCGCGACGTCAGTTCTGTTCATAGGATCAATAATGTTGCCTTATCTGTTAGCACCGCCTCTACTGTGACACCAGTTTATTTGTCCATACTGAGACAAAATGCTTTCCATAGTTGTTGTCCATTTGTGTAACTTGCCTATACGATAGGAATGTTCGAATAAAATGATAATAATACCACTGTACAGGTTTGGTACAAAATTTTGTGATAGTTGGAGGTGTAGGTCCTTTTTGCAGATCTTTTTTGTTTCTTGGTTAAAAATAGTCAGCAAATGATTTAATTTTGTTCCAAAAACCTATAAGTCTAATTTTTGGACAGTTTAAGCTTGTAGAATAAGAGACCTCGAACGAAAAATGTTAAATAAATTATTAAGAAATAAAATCCTTAACATTTCACAAGTACTAACAAGACTAGAAATAACATACATAACCAAGTATGTGTTTAAGAAATTCTTAGAATATGCAACTAAGTCGTAGGCGTGTGACGTCAAGTATGTAGAGTTTGTTTTCGTACTGATGTTTGTGCTCGCGCAGATGCCCTGTAGGGCTCCTGTTCGATATTTATTTAGCGCGTAGGTCCGAAAGGTCCGAAAAACAACAAAGTCTATTTTTTTATTTCTCTGTTAACAGTAGAGATTATTGGTGCAATCCGAAAACTTGTTCTAATAGTTTAAAAAAAAACGCCAACTATGTACGAAAAACACTTCTTATAGGTACCTATCTCAAATGGGAAAAATAACAAAATTTTAGTACATATAATTCCTTAAAGCGCCTTCAAAATTTTCTTCCCTTTCAAACTAAAATCTATCTTTCACAATCCCTTCTCCTTCCCCTTTTAGACTATGCTGATGTCTCCTTTCTCGACGCTACTGAACAACTTTGGGATAAGCTTGAGCGATTGCAGAATTTATGCATTCGCTTTACATTTGGCCTAAGAAAGTTTGACCATGTGTCGGAATTCCGCAAGCAACTCAAGTGGCTACCCATTCGGCGGCGTCGAGATGTTCATATACTTTCTTTACTGTATTCGGTTCTTCATAACCCTACCTATCCTGTATATCTGAGTGAGCGCTTTCATTATCTTGTCCCCAGAAGTAGACCTTGTCGCACCTCATCTTCTCTTCTCCTTCGAACTCCTTCTCATATTTGAACCCGCTATGACAAGTCTTTCACTGTGTCTGCGGTGCGACTGTGGAATTCTCTTCCCCACTCAATTTTTAAGAGGCGAATCAGAGAATTTTTCCTTTCTCAGCAGTAACAGACTAATATGATGATGTGTGAACTTGTGTTATATTATGGTTTATTTACATGATATTCGGTTATTTCGTTTATATTTCTATTTCTCTATATTTTCTTAAATTTACTCTGTACACACGACTCTCTCTTGTTGTCCTCTCTTCACTTTTGGTTTTGCTGGAAGAGAACTCAATTATTGGTTCAGCTCGCCTCTGTTCCCACTATTCCTTAATGTATTTTTTATATAAATGTTTATATTGTGTACGTAAAAAAAAAATAATAAATAAAAAAAAAATAGAAAAATAAAAGTTTATTGTATGTTACTTCATAAAGACCTAAAAAAGATTTAATGATTAAATGAAATGTTGTTTTTTACAATTAGTCTTTTCTTTTCTCTCCTATTCTCTTATTTTATTATCTTTAGAAAATGAAAACTGATCGTTTTGCTCCTATGAAATCAGTTAACAAAAGTTCTTTAACTATGCTACTCAATCAAATAGACCTGATTTCTTGTTTTTTTTTCTTGTTTTAAAAAAGACAACGCCCGCATTAGGAATAAATCTTGTATCGCGGGGGGACTTTACAAACCTACATAAAACGGACACAAGGAACACCTAGACACAGAACAACAATTCGTGGATCTCACAAAGTGTCATCCTATGTGGGGATCGGACCCACAACACTCAGCGTAGTAGTAAGCGGCGTGGCGACCGCTGAAACCACTTCTCAATATCAATAGAAAATTTAATACGAATTAATCATGACTAACAGTACCGGTTACGAGCGAGATCCTTCTATTGATACACAAAAATATGTGAAGTTGTGGATGTCTGAAACAAAAACATAGTGTTTGTAAAAAAATAGTAGTGTGGAGTAAAAAAAAAAAGATTCTGCTATTTTTCTAATTTATAATTTATTGCTTTAAAAAACGGCTTAAATACTTATATAGGCCGCAATTCCATAAGGATCGTTAACAAACCGATTGACACCACTTAATCCTGTAACGTAACAAATAAAAAAAATTGTTACTTAATTAAAGTATGGTACGCAAATTTTCTATGTAATTTATAAAATATAAAAATATGCGATATGTTACTTTGAGTCACTTATTTTGAGTTATTTACCGGCCTAGCTGTATTAAGCAACTTTTTATAGTTAAGCACGTTAGTAAAAAAATACTAGGTTAAAGATTACGCAGATAATTTTCACTTTGAGTATAAACAAGATCAATCGTTTCGAGATCGTTTCTATGGATGAATACAAAAATTGTAAAATCTCTTAATATTGAAATTACTTTTGTAGTTTCTCATCCTTGCATTCAATCTTCAACTAGGGGTGCAGCAGCAGCCTCGTATTGGCATACCACAGTTTTAACGTGCCGATATTCTGAAACACAAGATATACAAATACTATTATAGATTATACTGCTTTTACTACTTCAGATTCCTCCATCATGTTGATTTTATCTGAGATTTGAGATGTCTGAGGTTATTATTATTATTAATTATAAAATACAGAAAATCGTTATTATTTACTTAGTGCGAAGAAACATGCAACTGCTTATGGAAATAAAAGAAGAAGCGATTTAGCAATCATTCCTCTTTTTCTTTCTCATTTTACTATTTTCCTTTCCATGACCACTCTTATAAATATCATGATAAGTACATACGCTTCTTCTCATCACAATTGTACTCGTACAAGTCACAATTATCATTAAACATCCGCGTGATACCCAGTGAGTCCTGTCCGCAGACCGGTACAAAGTCGTGTTGACACTGCTCCGACATCTTGCAAAAATTGATAACCTATAACAAATACATAACTTTTAAATACACATGAAAAGGTTCAAAATTCAATAGACAAATGCCTTATTATGGTATAAAACATTATACCATAATAAGGCATTTGTCTATTGAATTTTGAACTTTTTCATGTGTATTTAAAAGTTTTTTTCTCTTCTGTTGAAAAGAAAAAAGTTAAAAAGCTGTTATTAAAAATTAAGCTAATAGAGTTATGTAACTTTTTAAAAATGCCACTGACTTCCATGCGCTTACATCATGAAGAATTGTCATAAACTGTATTCTTCATTTCTTAATTTTTCGGCCTTAGGAGTGGTAATTCTTTTTAAATTTGAATAGAGTTTAACGATAAGAAAAAACAAATTTTCCAAATTAGTTCAATGATGACGTTCTGAGATAACATAAGAAAATACAATCGAATTGATTATAGAGTTAAAATTACCTCAAGATTAATTAGAAATGTAACATTTTTTTACAAAACTGAAGAAAAAATTCAAAATATCAAGTTAAGCAACATTAAAACCAAAGACTTTAATGTTAAAAATATCATAGATAGATAGTTAATACATAACAGAGTCTACGAGCTTTTGTCTTGTGAAGATCTGTTGACCTAGTCTCCGTTAAAACTGTTTCAAGAACAGGCCGTGGTTTTCGACTTTATAACATTTCTTAGTAGTGGTTAAAATAACACATCTTAAATGTGTTCTTATACTTAGTAACTTTAAATATTCGAAGACATTTTATTTATATAATTGAAATATTGACGATTATGGATCTTTTTTTACTAAGGTATTAAATTTACAATTATACAATAATGTTATACAAAATGACAGATTAATTTTTAAAGTTTACAATTTCCAAAAATAATAATATCTCACCGGTTCTAGAGGAAAGAAATAATCTTCAGCTTCTATTTCTACGTGGGACCATACTTCTGCTGCTAATCCGATAATTATTAAACCTGCAATACAGGACGACAAGTAAATCTATATTATACACTAATTAACTAGCTAAAATGATACTACTCAGTGTCCCTTAATTACTGCAACTAAGACAGAAGCGACACACGCCTACACCTCATTAATACAGGTAACCAAAATATTATTCTTTGGTCGTGGAAGTCTAATCTTAGTCGGGCATACGCTACTTATAAACTTTTTTTTTTACACAATGAATATGAAAAAGCAATGTATTAAATTTATAAATTAATTTAATATAAGTCAAATTTAAAATAAACAACTCACTTGTAAAAACTATTCTAAATATCATTTTGCATACGGTCGCTCCGAATAGCCAACAAGAAGTTTCTAGTGGGACAATATCATCAATTGTTTACATTCTACAACCAAAACTATGGCTGTGGGATAGGAAATTATGATACAACATTTACTATATGTTTCAACCTATAGGAACATTAACAATCTGTCAGAGGTGCTTAACATTTAAATTTCCTCGCATTGTTTAACTAAGATATATATATTTTTTAATTAATAAATATAACGACTAATTGACTATTTACATGAACATATATAAAGCTATTTGGTATTCAGTCATGTCCTACGGTTATGGGGTACAGGTTAGAATTAAATTTGTGTAATAGGGGTCAGTCAAAGTGAGCATAGGGTTCACCGAATCATCATCATCAACAGATTTAAATAGTCTACTTCTGGACATAGGCCTCTCCTTAGAAAGGAGGTTTTAGCCTACTATACTCGTACCACGCTGGCAGTTAGTTTCAAGTTTTCCTTCTCTTTGCAGTGCTGTTGTTCTGCGTAGTTTGCTCCCTTTAGTCGGCTCTTCGGACATCCACGGGATGAATAGGGGTCGTTCAACGAATGGTAAGTGGTTACTGCCACCCATGGAGACCTGCAACTGAAGAGCCACAAGGCTCTTGGCTCCTGTTACCTTGGTAAAAGCAACGAAAAAATAGTGTATTAGCGACACTCTGAGACCATGTGAGTCTGACTAAAAATATACTCATTTGATTGTGATCATTTGACAATGATCTACCCTTTTGAGCTTGAGTGCTAGAAAGAGCAGGAAATTGTCTTGTAAAACAATTTAAATTTTAATTCTAATGTATTGTCAGTATATCTTGTAAACGGTTGCGCACTCCTGAGTTTAACCTTTCTATACGACACAAACATGTTGCTTTGACATAGTTGTGTTACCTGGTCGGAGAATATATTGGATATTATCATTATACACATTCCAGCTGCAACGCAATGTGGGTTAGAATAGTTCAAACATTCGTTTACTGTAAGTAAGAAATAATCAATAATGTTACAGAAACGTGTAATAGTGTTTTTGAAATAAAACCTTGTTGTTCCATATTGTTGTGTTCTCCTAGTTTTAGGTCTAACGCACTGTTAGTTTTCCTTACAACAATATAAGTAATGTGTTCGCAAACCAAAGGTATGGTAAGTGAAAGATATCAAATATCATCATCAAAATCATGTCATCTATTTTATGAAAAGTACGTTTGACTTAAACGCCACTGAGGTCTTTTGGCCACACACAATCACAATTTCGTGGGGTTCTAGGCTAAAACTACCGTAGTAGAATCAGTAAATGGTATTATGAATACTATTTTTATTAACAATCTATCTTTTTATTTCAGATACGATTTTAGTGTTTCTTCAATTGTGTTTAGTGCAATGCCACGTACCTAACTATATATCTACACCGTCAGTAAGTTGAACAAAATTCTTATAAGCTGTTGTTACCATCTATGAGTGTACCCAATGAAACTTTGGTTTTAAGGATCATTAGTTAAAATCAGAATTTGTTATTCATATGTCATTGTTAGTCTTAAGTGCAATACTCACAAATTCCTCTGTAGTTCCTCCTTGGAAGTTCTGGAAACTATACTCATGGTACTTTGGACTCATACCAGATGAAGTGGGTGAGTAATATTTACCATTTTTACAGAGTAAGGTGGAACAACACTGTATTTTATCAGAATCATGCGTCCACGATACAATAGCTGTATGTGGCCTCAATGGAGATAAAAAGAGAAGCTTCCTTGATCTGTGTGACATGCTGGAGTTTACCTGTGACACAAACCAAAGTAAGTTTTGCTTTGTTTTTATTGATAGCCTACAAGATATATCTGGTATAGCGTAAGCCCTATGATGAACAAAAGTTCTGTAAAATATTATCCTAATGGCCGGATGATGGTGGCCATTAGGTTAATATTTTTATGGATACCAAACGGTGCACATAGGTCTCATTTGGCACTTTTATTGGGGAGAAATGATGACTCTCCTTGTGAAGCCGTCCTAGCTAAAATGTTGCCACATACTGAGCTCTCGCGGTAAAAGGTTTGATGTTACACACTCAGCAGCTCAGCTCAGTGGTTACAAAAAAAGGCGCTTAATCATAACCGTCATACAAAAGTTTTGAACGTTATGGAGATCAGCTCAAGACACCGATCGCACCGCCTTTAAATGACATCCAGCTGGTAAAATCTTCGCAGTATGCAGGTGACTAGCGACGAGCTAAAACTTGAGACTGATCTATAGCAATTCAAAATTTGGTTACCTATTTGGGGTTAGTAGTATGCTTTTAATTCACGGCGGTTACGAACTGCATCTATTATTATAACAAATAAGACAACAAAGAATTGCGCCGTGCAGTCGCAATCCACCTCTGACGGCCGATAGCTGCAAGTCCCGCGACAATTGGTCGTCAGTTCTACACGTTCTATCAAGTCGCCGCGAATCGGTGCGACCGAAGTCGCATGACATCACCGGCATGCTGCACGAGCCCTAATTCTTACACTTGCTCTTGTGCTATGTATCTCAGTGTTTCTCTTCTGTAGTTTAAAACTTTATTTTTAACACATAGTTCCTTTGTTTGCAGTATATGTACATATTGATGATGAAGCAGGATGCCCGACAGAAAGACCTAGAAAATGAAATATATTTGTGCATTTGATATTGCTGTTTAATTTCTTTAAAATTAGCCTTTGCTCAAAGCTTTACTTGCGTTATTTAACTTTTGGTTATCAATTAAGTTATGCCTTGGTGACAGTAAATATTTTTCTTCCGTAGATGAGAGGTAAAATTGTATAAAGATTGAAAACAATTTCTACAATTTAATCATTTGTACGTACCGCTTTTCTTTGAAAGTTGAAGGATTAAAGACCATGGCAGTCTTTATTTTTACATCTATTCAAGGTTATTAATAGGGCTCCGTAGGAAGTTTGTTAGCATTAACACTAGTGGCGATTGTTTATAAACCCGATTTTTGCGTACTATTGAGAGGTAATTGTGATCTTGATTGTATTGTTACCTTGGTACTAAAAGTAGATATTCCAACTTATATTTCCTTTATTTGCATAAATAACTGAACGCAACTAACCAGCTTCGTATGCAGTACCAAGAAATCCAATGCGGCTATTACTGAACTATCTCAATAAAATATTGCATTGCGCTACAAATTATAAAATACCAGGCTACACTCAGACATACTACTTTAATACAAAAAGAATCCTTACTTAAATATGTGTTTAAGTATCATTACGTTAATGTGCTTCGGCCTGACCTGAGATCGTCAGATCAAGAAAGATGTATTGGAGGTTACCTGTACAAGAACGAGAAAGCGATAGTTCGAAAGTTGACCGGGTAACAGGTTAGGGCAGACAGAATAAGTATAGCGAATGCAGTAACGTACCGACAGATCGGCCCATCTTAGATAGGTAGTACGGTACGAAAATATAAGTTCGTTTCTCAGGCAAGTTTGTCAAACTAGACCTACCACCGTAACTACGTAACGAATAGACTGTTTAATGAACCGGATTGGTAAGTCTACAATTGGAAAGTGGTAAGCCAATTTTTTTTCCAAAATTCAGAAAATTTTTCAAATTTTAGAACTTGGCAGAACCTACTTGTATTATACTATTGAATTTGAAGAAGTAAACAAAATTTTTCGTAAAAGAAGACTATCATAATCGTATATGGCAATCATCTGCAATATTGCAGATGATATAGTTTATTTATTTAATAAGCTTATGATTTCTAGATGCCATGGTCAACATCTAGGAGTCCAGAAAATACTAAACGATTAGACAGACGCATAAGTCCAGGCGGACCACCGCTCACTCTCACGATGTTTCCAAATCGATTTGGGGCTTATGACTAATCACATTAAAAAATTGGGTCTAATAAACACGACCACAATGCCTTGATATCTTTTGAAAAATATTTGTAAAAGTAATGATAGTTTTTGATGAAGTTAATGAGTTAATTATAAATAACTCATAAGATCAGCATATTCACATAAATGAAATTGAGAACACCGCATGTGAAACACATGCTGCATGGATAGGAATCAATAAAGATGAATTACTTCCTACAATAATTCTATAATTATATTCCAATAAAAATGTAATCGGAAGTGCTTATGTATGAAAATTATAAAAAGCTGTAACTCAAGTTAGTCCAATATGTAACCGGTCTGTGTGTGAACCCGTGAGAAAGATACAATTTGAACAAGCCATAATTAGCGAGCGGGGTATTAAATCACGGACCCTCTTGCCCCCTTCCCTCCCATCTTACCTCTTTCCTCAGTCCACACGGACGAGCTGCGCGAGCGCAACGATTTCATCGATTAGACCGATTTGACGTCAAACTTGGAAACAGGTGAAATTGCAGGGTGAAGGACGTTTTAAACAAAAATATACATTTAAAAATATTTTGAGAACAACGAATTGTTTTTTAACATTTGAAATATTATTATAATTACTATACCAACCCGTCTAGCCAGCGGGGCATAGTAGGCCGAAACCTTTTTTCTAAGGAGAGGCATGTCCAGCAGTTGACTATTAAAGGCTGTTTATGTGAATTGAAGAACTAAAAAAGATATAGTTCTAGTTTCTGTTTAAATTAATGTAACCCTCAAAACGAATACAATTCTTCGTAAAACTGTTAATTACTTCCAATAAAAACCTTTCGTCTTAATAGCAATGTCGTTTTTTCGTACTTCAAAAGAAAAGCCAGTGGCCTACGGAGCGAGAATCACAATTGCACTCTTCTGCCACAAATTCGCCTGATTTGACAATTAAACTACTAATACCTATAATCTTCTTGCACTTCTGTGCTTTGCCATAGCTTTATAAAAGCTTTTTATTAGACGTATTGTGAAATAATCCACACATACACATGACACACACTGCCATCTGATTGAATTAGGCAGAGCCTGGGCAGTAATCAGAATGCTGATAAACATACTTATACATGTACATATTTATAAATACATACATCTAATAAACATTATCACACAAATATTTTTTTACAGTGGAAAATAAGAGAAGGAAAACTTGAAACAAACCCTATACCAATTCGTCTGGCCAGCGTGGTATAGTTGGCCAAAACCTCCTGTTTAAGGAGCGGTTTATGTCAAGCAGTGGACTATTAAAGGCTGTTGATTATGATGATGGTGATGAGTGGAAAATAGAAATGCCTTAGTAGTCAGGATCACCAACCACTAATCCAACAGACAAGTCAATAAAATAGTAAACATATTTATACGAGGTTCATTGAAAAGTAACGATTTTCAAGTCCTTATTGTAAATGATGCAAAAAACTGTATTCTGAGTAAGGGTACAAAATCTAGCCTGTAAACCAATTTTTTTTTGTTTGTAGCCCCATTGCTTTAATACAGATAAATTGATTAATCTAATTTGATACGAGTATCACCGCTTCTAATTGACACCCTACAGTTTTTGGATAGCAGATTCTTTTTTTTATTTTGCTCGCTTTGGAGTCCATAAACAGCTTATAAATCAAAACCTAGATTTTTGAAGAATGTAATATTAGGTTACAATTTTAACTGAGAACATTTTTTTATTTTTATTTTATATAATGAATATTGTTACGCAATAGTCACTATTCACGTAACATGCGATGATCATACATTACTAGTAATATACTACTTCCTCCAAGAACAATACTTTTCTACCTTCCTATAGAGTGATAGAGAACATGTTCATTATCTAAAATTAAAAACTTTCACAACAAATAACAGCAACTAATAAAAGATGTTTCAAGTAAATTCTCGAGCTAGATGTATTGTGGGTTTTTCTTTTTAAAGTAACGCTGTATTATTGGAAATGGATCGTACAAGATTGTGTTGCCGTGTTACCTTTTGTTTGCGGAGCAAGCAGGTAAACAGAACGGACGCACTGGCTACAATCGCGCCATCTACACGCCACGCCCAACGACCCCGCGACCGCAGGGTTCTCACTCGCTGACCACATAAACTGCAGGTGTATGTCTAATAGTAAGACTGCACTAATTTTGATACTGTGATACTTTTGTTGATAAGTTAATTTTCGTAGAATTTATATTAGGCCAAATTTGCAATCCATCCACAGCCTTTAATCGTCCACTGCTGGACATAGGCCTCTCCTTAGAAAGGAGGTTTTTGCCTACTACACCACGCTGGCCAGACGTGTTGGTATAGGGTTTGTGTCAAGTTTTCCTTCTTTTTGCAGTGCTGGTGTCCTGAGTTGTTTTGCGCCCTTTGTCGGCTCTTACGACACCCACGGGATGAATTGGGGTAGTCATCATCATCAGCCTATCGCAGTCCACTGCTGGACATAGGCCTCTCCCATTGCACGCCACTTAGATCGATTTTGGGCTTCTCGCATCCAGCTCCTGCCAGCCATCTTGCGCAAATCGTCACTCCAACTGGCCTGTGGGCGTCCTACACTACGTTTGCCGAGACGCGGTCTCCACTCAAGAACTCGTTTTCCCCAACGGTTATCGGTTCTGCGGCTAATATGGCCAGCCCACTGCCACTTCAACTTGCTGATCCGGTACGCTATGTCGGTGACCTTAGTTCTCTGCCGGATCACCTCATTTCTGATGCGATCCCTTAGAGAAACGCCGAGCATAGCCCTTTCCATAGCACGTTGAGCGACTTTGAACTTGTGGACCAGCCGTACCGTAAGTGTCCACGTTTCAGCTCCGTATGTCATGACGGGTAGGACGCACTCATTAAAGACTTTCGTCTTAAGGCACTGTGGGATCGACGATGAGAAGACTCGACGTAGCTTCCCAAACGCTGCCCAACCCAACCGAATTCTTCTGTTCACCTCGTCCTCGAAGTTGTTTCTACCTAACTGCAATGTCTGCCCGAGGTACACATAATTTTGAACGACTTCGAGAACGGCACCGTGTACCGCAATCGGTTCCGGTAGTACATGTTCGTTGAACATGACCTTGGTTTTATCCAAGTTCATCCGTAGGCCGATGCGTACAGAAGTGTCAGCTAAGTCATTCAGCATTTGCTGTAGGTCCTGCAACGTCTCTGCCATGATGACGATGTCATCTGGGCAGAATATTCGCCATTGATATTGATGCCACGCCCTTTCCAGTGCAGCGTCTTGAACATGTCCTCCATTGCCTTTGTGAACAATTTCGGGGAAATAACGTCCCCTTGTCTCACTCCTCGATGCAATGGTACGGGCCTTGTTTGCTGATTCTGTACTTGGACGGACATGGTGGCGGCTTCGTAGAGACATCTCATCACTTTGATGTATCGCCAATCTACTTGGCAACGCTGCAGGGACTCCAGAACAGACCAGATCTCGATCGAGTCAAAGGCTTTCTCATAGTCCACGAATGCTAGACACAGGGGCTGATTATATTCTTCGGTCATCTGTATAATCTGCCGCACTGTGTGGATGTGGTCTATGGTGCCATATCCGCTCCGAAACCCAGCTTGCTCCGGTGGTTGGAATTCGTCGAGTCTTCGCGCAAGACGGTTCGTGATGACTCTCGAAAACAGCTTGTAGACGTGGCTTAGAAGGGTTATGGGTCGATAGTTCTAATTGGGGTAGTGACATTCCGTATTCTTAATCCGTCACTACACGGACAAATTTGCAATATTTGAAACAATTTACTGAAGTTCT